TTCGATATTAAAAGGTTTACATAACCCTTACTATTTAGCATCAATAAATCCCATTTTTCACGGGCTTTCATTTGGTATAAAATTCATCATATCACCTATTTGAAATTATAGCGTTACCCCCTAGAATAATATTTTTTCCAACCGTGTATATGATAATTTATAATTCAACCTTATGTATATAGAATTTATGTACGATACCAGTTGGTAACAAACGATCCATAATCAATTTCGGCAACTACAATAAGAGATATGGTACATTTTAAAAACTGTATCGAATTATTTTGGATTTGATTTGATTTTTCATATAAGACGATCTTCTGTGCAATTTAGATTTATATTTGGAACTGGTCAGATTATGTGAAAAAAAGCTATTTAACATTATTATCAGTTCATTGGGTCTTTAATTGTAGATAAAGCCAACTACACCGAAAAACAAAATATTGTCATTCAACATTCATTTTCATACAGATAGCAAACACTACTTGAAAAAAATTCCATTTCAGCATTGAACCCATCATGTGGGTATGGGTGTGGGTGCAAAAGAAGACAAGACACAACTACATACCCACATCCCGCACCCCACTCCCACATCCACACCCACACTCTTACACCCATACCCTTTATTCATTAATTTCATTACCGAAGGAACAAGAAAGCGTACGATAAGTGAAATTCCACCAACATAAGTCAAGAATCCTGCCAGTGCAATCAATGGATAAAATCGATCGTAACGTGTAAATGAACATTGTCGAGGAGCACAATTTTGAAAGAATATTTCATGAGAGACATTTATGTTCGATAAATCGGTCAGTATTCTATTGATAACAGTTTCAAGAGTAGAATATATAGCAAAGTTTGATCCATTGATTTCTATTGGTGAAAAAAGATTAGTTAAAACTTAATAATACCAGTAAGGTGTCGGATCACCAAGTGGCATGGTGGTGACGAATCTTGCCAAACATGTGAATCAATAGAAGCGTTCTAATGATGACTGAACAAGTGATTCAAGAGTCGTAGAACCAAATCGGAGTCCATCAAAGATTAAAATAACAGTCAAATCGTTTGCCAACCTGGTCGATATCGATTCGAATTGGAACAAGAAGAGAGACAATGTCCATTGAGAGTTTGTTTTGATTATTCAACAGTGAAAGAAGACGATTGAATGTTGAAGTACACTCGAGTTCGTTCGATACATCACTCAAGTTGACATTTTACGACTCGTTCATTGAAAGATATTAAGTAGATGAGATTGTTTTTTGAACAATGAACATAAAATAATTTGATAAAAATCCAAACAAAGTGGACGAGATCAATCACAACGATCGTTGAAATTTGATAATGACAAATCTTGTTCGATTATCTTTGCTATTCTTGTCCGTACGCTTCGTGAACATCACCAACGACATGGAGCGTCGGTCTCACTCTTTTCAATATTGTTTCGAGAAGCTCATGTGCAGTAATGATTTGTCAAGAATAAAATAGGAAGGACCTTGGACTGGCATCCCGCCAACACTTGGTAAAACAGGAGGAAAAAAGAGGCATACAGTTTTCGCCCGAAGAAAACTGAAACCCATCGGCAGAATAGTACTATAAATTCGACTAAACTCGTTCGCGATCAATTTAGGTTGAATATGATTTGAAAGAGTAAAAAAAGAAATGAAACTTCCAATTGTTCATAGAGATTTTTGTGCAATTGCTAATGTATGCATTAGAAAACGGGAAAACATTAGAAAAATAGTCTATTCTATTTGTCTGGTATCTGACTATAATATTACTCTATCTGATTAACTAGGTACACAGAAATAGAAACGATCAGAATTCATTAAATGTCTTTTCTGCTTTTTGTTTCTTTTTTCGGATGACTGCGCATGTGAGTAAAGTGTTTTTTCGTGTTTTTTTCGATTTTCAGCAATTCTTCCATGATTTTGATCATTTTTCGCATATCAGTTTCACTTTTCCGTTTCCCAGCGTAAATTAATGCATTGGTTGCAATGATGCCCAGACAGGGGGTTTGCAAGGAATCGTTTAACCCCGTGGTATCGAAAACGCTTTAGTTTTCCAGTAAAATATGGTCATCGTCCTGCGTTCTGTAGAAAACGCCTTATTTGCATTGAATAAATTGTATGATCTCCTGCTTTTTGGTAATCGGACACCCCTGTTTGTTGCCATCGCGTTCCATCATATCCGATTTCTTCTAAGAATCATCAAACCGTTGTCAATATTAACCCATGCCAAGCAAACACTCTTGTAGTCGGAGAAATACGGCGTTTCACATCATCCAGTATTGCGATTATGTAACTCCGCAATCATGTACGCAGAAATACTATCGTTTATGGACAAACAAAGCTCGTATACAGCTTTCGTTTTTCTCTGTATTTCTTCATATACGATTATATTTCTCCGTGTGCGGTTTGGAGATACACGATCGTCCAAAACGTGATCGTATACGGAGAAACTCGGAAGGAGAGAGGTTACTTCATTTTGACAGTAAATCAATCACGTAAGGTAATCTAGCAGCATACCACGGGATCTGTAATCAACTCAGCAATTTTGAAGAATCAGATATTGCCGGATACAACATGAAAACTTGTATCAGTATCTGATAAGCAGAAATCTTCAACGTATAACATCATACTGTTGAAAACTATCTTGTCGAAGAAATCCCACCGGATCTGACAGGATTCTATGGTAGGTCTAGGCACCTTGGGAACTTCTTCTCACTTTGACGCATGCGTTACGCTACGAGTTAGTTATCCCTTGTTAGATTCACATCACAAGCTTACCAGGGGCCGAGAAAAACCGTCAAGATAAGTAAGCTTGATATTATCATTTTACATGTCGATCTTAACCAGAAAAACTGACCAAAATTGTGAGAAAATGACGAGTTCACATGGGAAATATAATTGAGCGATTTTGCTTTCCCTTGACAGCTACAAATGTTGAGTCCCAAATACGGATATAAAACATCGCTGAAGTTGATCACTAAATTCATACACTTTATCCTTCTTAGCTATACAACTGGACTGATCTGCACATTAGTTTGTGTTATGTGAACTTTTTCTATGATATGCTAACATTAATCAATATATTCATGGATATTTTCGCCAACGACCTACTTTTTCGTGAGAAAAGAGGAAATAGAGAATATTTCTGAGAAAAGAGGCTAAAAAGAGGAATTTCAAAAGAAAAGAGGAAAAGGAGGAAAAAGAGGTGGAGTGGGATGCCAGACCATTGATGATGAGAATATCAGCATCGATCGGAATTTTCGACCAACGTAGACTTTTTGTGATCGCTTACCATTCACTAATTTTTTCTTTTTTTTCGTTCAGATACAGTCGAACTAATTAGATTTGAAGATCTGACCATGTTGTACTTAATAAGAGTAGAAGAGCAGCGCATTATCCAATGCTAATAAACTCAAAGACAGTTATTATCTATTTTTCATGAAACGTAAATTCGAAACACATATTGAGAATCCATTATTATGATAATTTCGTATCGTAGTCGAATGTAACTTACACTGAATTACGAAATATGATACATTTATGTTTAGCATATAGAAGACAAGTTTTGATTGACATGCTGCCGAACAAGTGACAAGTTTTTAGAAAAATGATTATTTGAAAGTGTTTTGATAAAACTTTGGCATTGTCTGACGAAAGATTTAGCTAAGTCATCGAGATGCTTACAAAACTCAAAAACACTTCAAATGAAATATTTATAGATTGATTTAAAAAAACGTTAGTGCTGATCTTCATCGTTGAATAAAGGCTACGAAAGAGAAAAAGATTCAAATCAACAATACGAATAAAAACAAAAAATATCAAGTAGTTTTGTTATATTGATGAATATTATGTGTCTTGTATTTGAATATTAAAATATTGATCACATTCTTCTAATTGAATTTCTGTCATCGTTTCATCCTTTTTCGAATATAAAGGTTTAATATGATTAATTCTTTTTACTTTAAATACAGTATAAGGCATAATCAAGATTTCACCTTCATTTGCATATTGAGAGCAATTTTCAATATGTAAAGCAGTGCGTCGATGTTTAATATTATAAACACACATAACCCACTGTTTTATACATGCTCCATCACTTTTGGTGCGTGACGGTCTTGTCGTCTCTTCTTCTGTGGATACTTTTTGCAATAAAAATAATTCGGCAAGTTTTTGATCAATCGATGATGATAAAAATGATTTTGTCATTAATGAACAATTAATTTGATACTTTCGCAAATCATCAGAATTGACTTGCATAACTCGATAAGAAGAACCAATAAATGCCATTTCATCCAATTTTGGATGATGCCAAAGTAATGCTATTATATATCTTCGTTCATTTTGATATTGATTAGCACCACACGCTATTTCAGTATTGAGAACTTTATAGAAATCAGTCTCAGCTGTATAAGCTTTTAAAATCCATCGTGGATCTTGTTCTTCAGTCGCTTTTTGAAAAAACCGTTTGATGTTGTCAATTTCATCGAATTTAGCTAATCCCTTGTTAATATAATTCTTTTCAATTTTTTCGAACATTTTTCCAACAGAGGTAAATCCACTAGTATTTTCATAGAGAGATTTAATAATATGTCTCTCTTCTCCGGCTGTTTCTAAAACATCATCATTAATCGCTTCCCATTCAATAGCACCGGTATTTGATACAAGTCGATTTGTATTTGGTACTCGAAAGAAAAGTTCTTTAATTCCATCATTTAATGCTTCATCAAATGGTAAATAATTATATTTATTATGTATTGCTCTATCTGCTCCAGATTTTAATAATAATTTAACGATTTCTTGATGACCATGATAACTTGCAGCATGTAAAGCTGTACTACCATTTGGTTCTATTCTATCTATCTCGTCAAGGGTTCTCGTTTTAAGTAACTCTTTCACTTCCTCAATATTGTTGCCACGACATGCTAAATAAAATTTACTACACGTTTCTGATGATTCCATTGCTTCCGTTGATATTGTGGTTTCCATTTCTTCTACTGATATCATTGTCACTGGCCTCTCTTCCGTTGATATTGTGGTTTCCATTTCTTCTACTGATATCATTGTCACTGGCTTCTCTTCCGTTGTTATTGTTATTGCTGTTGTTTCTGGTTCTGTCCCTGTTATTGTTGACATTGTCTCCGCTTCGTTTGTTCTTGTTGTGGTTGCTGTCAGTATAGGCATTGTTACCACTGGCGTCACCTCCTTGTTTGTTGTTACTGCTTCTGATGATGATTTTGATTTTTGTTTGGTATGGTTAACTGTCGGTAATTTATCCACAGGAAGTCGTTCTGGGTGATCCGGACGGGAACGCGCAGCGATGTTTACCTTCTCACGACGATAAAATGCATAATTTTTTAACGTATTAATTATGTTTCCCATATTGAGTCAGCCAAGAATCAGTTGATACTTTCCACAGATAATCAATATGTGATGCTTCTGATTGAGTAGAACTGAAATATACGGAGATTTCTGTAATTTAGATATTGAAAACTTTTCGCACTGTTCGATTTCAAATCATGCCAGAAGATTATCCTGAAAGTTTCAGCTCTTTATTCAGTCCAAGAGAGATTTCGAAGATTTCGTAGTGAAAGAAAACATATTTAGATATAACAGGATCAAATTTTATTTAAGTATATAATTTATCTGATTTTTTTTCTCTGCATGGCAGATAGAGATGGTTGGGACTACGTCTTCGATCCCAGTCTCTTCCCAACCCTATCGCATTTGGTACCATTTCCTGTTTGAGATTCAGAATTTGGCTTCGACAACCTTTATTTGTGGCTGAGAAAGGAAGGTCTTTTTATCGCTAAAGTTCTGAGATCGAGACCTTTGTTTAGGAACACCTAGAATTATTAGAAATTTTGCTAAATTATTAGGTTGATACATAAGTTCTGCACTTTTTTTTTGTTTTTAGGCAAATTTGAGGTTTTACATCTCATGATTGGAAAGAGATATAGGTTTAAACTTTTTAATGCAGATAGATTTCTATTTCTACCTATTCTGAAAAGTTTAGACCTATATCTCTTCCCAGTCATGAAATAATAAGCCTTAAATTTACCTAAAAACCAAAATGAAAGATGCAGAACTCATGTACCAATCTAATAGTTCAATTTACATTAGTCAATCAATGACATTGAATCGAAATGAAATCAACCTTAATAGCGCGAAAATTATTTCATAGATGGAGCTCTTAGCGCACAATATTCCAGTCTTAACTCGAAACTAATCAATCGAGATTTGCTAACTGGTAATGAAAACAGTCATGCTTTCACTAGTCATGTTTACTAATAAAGTAAATTTTAGTTCATTGTAATTACATACTGCCCAGAATCAATTCATGAAATTGATATTGATCACACCTAAGGTGGGATAAAAAAGAGAAATCAATCGTATATATGTTTTCATAGGAATGTATGTTGAATGATAAATGAGATGCTAACTTAAGATGCCGTTAAGAATCGTCGAAATTGCTATTTTTCGATTCCGATTTCGACGATCTCTGGTTCTCAATCGGAGTACAGCCGATTAAGATTAACTTTTTACCTTAAATAGAATATTGAAAAACTATAGCAACGGTATCCTCGCGTACTGATCCCATAGTCTTCAACGCTCTATTCAAGGTAAAAGGTTAGCCTCAATCCGTTGTACTTCGACTGAGAAACAGAAGGTCAAAAGAGAGAGAGAGAGTACCTTTAGGGACGGTTCGCGACGGAAAAGTAGTGTAACGTTAGTCACAATATCCAACTTCAAACTCCTACAAATATGCTGGGGAAAATTCCGAAATAATGCAAAGTTACATCAACCCTACTTTGTTTTTTTTTCTAATCATGTGATAGTGGGACTCATGCTATTTAGATCTATCTCAATTGAAAAACAGTTAGTAGCACTAGTGTTTGTTTTGAAGAACTAAGTCAGAAATAAATCAACTGATATTCAATTAGAACTCATTCAAAGTAGAGCTTGTACAATTTCGTAGAGTGCGTGCACAAAATAAGAGCACAGTTTTGCATGAGGTGGCAAATCTTAAATTAATACCAATTTTGAAATATGCGTGCCAAAATTTCAAAAATTTTAAATCATGAAAATTTTAAAATTTCTGCGAATCAGAGCAACCCACGAAAATTTGGATTAAGTTAATAGTGATTAAATAATTTTAAACACCACTAGTCAGAAAATGGCTAGGAGCTCAAAAAAATACCTTACTATATCCAGTTTAATCAGAAGTCAGATATCAGAAATATACCTACCTCTTGTATTCAGATTAACAAGAAATCAGATATCAGAAATCTACTTGCCTCTTATATTCAGATTAACAAGAAATCAGATATCAGAAATCTACCTACCTCCTATATTCAGATTAACAAGAAATCAGATATCAGAAATCTAACTGCCTCTTATATTCAGATTAACAAGAAATCAGATATCAGAAATCTACCTGCCTCTTATATTCAGATTAACAAGAAATCAGATATCAGAAATCTACCTGCCCTCTGTATTCAGATTAACCAGAGATCATATATCTACTGTCGACCCCTTTTTGCTCATTATGATTCAAGGAAACAGAAAAGTGTTGAACAAAATACTTATAAACCTGACTTGGATGGTATTTTTATTCGGAAATTGACAGTGATTAAAACTGATATTTAACAAATAAGATAATATAAATACCGAAAAGATACTGAAAAATAGAAGTATATATTGAGGAAAATGCTATACTGTTGGCTCAAATGAGCTAATACCGGTAGTTCTACAATTTTTTAAATTAAGAGGAATTGTAAAAAACGTTGTCGATTCTGAATAATTGCATCTTCTCAATAAACACTTATATTTTGATAGGTAAGAAAAAGCGGTTTGGCAACTTGTATATTAATAAATACATAAATTTTCGTTATCCGACGGATAATCAGCCTAAATTACTATTTTACGCAGAGGTCTGTTTGACTTTTCACGTAAAATGTATCTATTGCCATAGCTAGCGATGTAAGAAACCATTTCTTGTCTTCAGATTTCAAATCAGAGATGAGGATGGTTCGAGTTGAACTTTTTAAAAACCGATCGATTCGGTTCGGTTAGATTCAAAAAGATATCAACTGCTTATGTACGCAAAACTAACGACAGATTCAATTTTTTGAGAAAATTATTTCCTACAGACTTGTACCATAAAAGATCTTGGTTGCCTCAAACGGAGCACTATAAAAAAAAGATGTCTATTAATTCTTTACGGCTGTAGATTTCTGTACCATTTTCTGAACCATTCAAAGTTGCAGCCAGAGTCTCTAGAATGATTTTTAGATTCAACAGTTTCAAAATAAAACCATTTTAAGCTCTAGTCGAACGACCTTAAACTTAAAAATGTTTATAAAAAGATATCTAAGTCTAGAACCCTAAAGAGTTTATTATGATACCTTTTTTGAAAAGACCCAGGTCCAAAAGTACGGGCCGGTTCCGGTAGGAAAACACCGGAAATCGCCGGAACACGGAAGCAGTATTCCTGCCAGAAATTTTCTGGTGAATTCCAACCAACTTTCTGTGTTTTCCGCCAGGAACTGACCGGAAAATCATCGGAAAAAAATTCCGAAAATTTTCGGCTTGAACACTACTTCCATTTCCCGTGTTTTCCTGCCGGTTCCTGCAGTATCCGGTGGCCAGAACGATCGATCTGGGTATACCCAGGTTGATGAATGCGGCCTCGGGATCCTTCAGGAACCGGCCGGAACAATACCCGGAACATGGAAGCAGTATTCCGGCCGGAAATTTCTTGTACCCGGAAACTGAATGTTCCGTGGATTTTCCGCCAACGGAAATCTATGGGAAAAAACTGGGAACCCCCGGAAACCAGCAAGGAGCGAACCGTTTCCCACCGGAAAAAACATGAAGACACGTTCGACACATCCTTGAAAGATCTTTCCAATAGTATGAAAGATCTTTGAAGGATACTTTTGTCATACGCCCTAGTTTGAAGGCGCCTTGTGCACCTGAGTCGTAACAATCAAAAGAAATCACTTTCGCAGAGATTTGGTAAGACAATCCTTTCGTGTGAGGTGTTTTCAGACGACCATCTGAGTTTAAGAAAAATAAAATACGTCGGAAATCTTTTCTCAAATACCTTACATTCAAGGGATCATTGACCCAGAGACCACCACGATCTTCACTACCAAGATTTGGTATGGACACGGACGCAGGTGAAAGTGTAGGAGAAAATTTGAATCCGCATCCTCCTTACGGATGGAAATGAAATACCTCACTTTAGTAGTTCGTGGTTTTTCAAGAGCGCTTGCTGTGGGGCACGACATCATCTCTGTCTTTACACATTACGTGTAGGGACTGGAAAGACTTTCAAATCGGATGTACATCTTCGGGGAGAATCAGTTTGAAATAACTTACTTAGGTATTTCGAGGGTTTGGAAGAGTGCTTGCTCTGGGGCACGACATGTTCTCTGTCTTTACACATTACACGTAGGAATTGTGGAGTCTTTGAAAGATCTTTCAAAGTGTTCGAATAGTCTTTGAATAATCTTTCAAAGTCTGAGAAAGTCTTGGATAGATGCTTGAACGTCGGTGACAGATCTTTCAAAGTATTTGAAAGATGTCTGAAAGTCTTTGAAAGGTCTTTTGAAGTATGTGAAAGATGTTTGAAAGATCGTTGAAATTCTTCGAAAGGTCTTTGGGAGATTTTTCAAAGGGGTTGAAAGATCTTTGAAACGCCGGATTTAGACTTTGTCAACGGACAGGAAAGAGGTGCGGTATAACCGGGATACTGCCGTTTCCCGCCGTACATCTTTGACCTGGGTACTGTAGAATGTGTAGTTTTCATAAGCGTTTTATTTTGAAATACAGTTAAATTATAACAAAACTACTTTTCAATACTGTTGTTATTGAAAAAGTTAGCATTTAGGTCTAACATTTCTTTTAAGAATTTTTCTACCTAAATGAACATTTGTGCCAGACACAAGCCGATGAGATCCTCTGTTCTATGTTATGTTTGATTCTATCATCAGTCGGAATGAATCTCTACATAACATTTCTTCAATGGCAGCGGGATTTAGTATTTTTAACCACAATTCTTGTAAAGTGAGGGCATACTTTTCGCACCCATTCTGGCATCCAACCAATGATTCTTTCTATTTGGGTAG